TCTGAAATGCGTGAACCTCTCCATGCACATCGGTCTCACCCTGCACCACCCACCACCACAGGTAAATTCTCAACCCGTGGGAATAACATTAGAGTCACACAGGCAGGCTCTGCAGATTTTTCTTTGACTAAGAAAACCTCAGTGAAAATATTCTGTCATTTCAGTGATGACAGACAGTGTTATTACAGCTAGCTTTAAGGTTATGGCCTTTGTTCAGACTCAGAGATAATAAAACTGGTACACTGACACTGAAAACCTGTGACAGCCTACTGTTTTACACATAAACTGATCGGGAATTGTTCATAGAATCAGACTGATAAGCAAATCGATTGATCTTATAAATCTTTCCCCTTGATTATGTCCGATGCATGCTGACGCTATGCAATGTTAAGCTATCTCACTCTGTACCCAAGTGCCATCACTACCATAGCATCACAGCTAAAAATCTATGAATTAACTGATTATGAGAGAAGACAAGTCTGTGGAGAACTCACTGGGACTCACTCAGATCTGTAGTAATATAACTTGACCCTACCTGACCTGATTAGCCAGAGTACGGCTTAGAACCAGTTCAACTCAGGGCCCAGGACCCATGAAGTCTGATTTCAGTTCACTGTTGTCCTCTGTGGGTTTTTGTTGTTGTACCACTGGCACATTAATAACCTGACAGCAGCAGCGGCTCTCTGAGCCCGACAAACAGATGACAACAGTGCACAGCAAACAGAGCTGCTGGGTCACGAGGGAGCAATTAAACTGATCACTTAATACCTGATAATCTGCATTACCTGCCGCAAGTGATTACCATCACACGCAGGCTGGCTGCCAGTTGGAACACACTGTAATTCTACAGCAGAGCCACCAGGACACAGCCAACCAGCACTGAGCAGACTCACTTTGTTTGGTTTTGTCTTAAAATATAAAATATTTATCATTCAGAGTATTTTATTTTATTTTACTGAATGGATCTGAAGGCGCAAAAATCACAGCGTTGAAATCAAATAAATGTAACCGTAGAGATGTGTCAAATTAACACTGATTATTTTACATGACTGACAGTTTCATATTAGAGATGGAAGACAGTTAATGTACTCAACAGATCAATATTAAAGTCATCCATTTGCACATTAGAATTTGCCTTTTGAGGGGATGTATTATCGCCTATGAATATACATATACACACACACGCACACACACACACACACCATCACATCTACATATGGAGGTACATACAATGAAAATGAAACCACAATTAAACCACAATTAAACTGAAAACAAAATTATTCCAACTTTATGGGCAACAGTGTATGTATATCACACACATACAACATTTAGTTCAGACCAAGTGATTTGATTGGACCAGAGTTATTCCATGAGTGCTGATATAGAGTATAATGGCACTGGGACTTGTAACTATATGTATCACTCCGCTTCTCAGGTGTTCTATTAATCATTAATCAGCGTTACATTAACGTTATCTCTCTTAGATTGTAACAAACTTTGCAAAGATGAAAATATTTCCAGAAATAACATTTGAGTTTAATGACGTGTGGTCGTCAGAAGAGGATGAAGGAAGAAGCCTGGATACTTCAGCACACACCTGAGGTAATGAGTCGACAAAGTAGCAAGCTAGTGTGCACTGTGCAGGTCAAGAAAATGTTTATGTGTTGCTTAGCAACAGTCTGGTACCAGTCCAGTTGCGGAACTATTTGTTTTGGTGTAGCCAAATACATGATAAAAGAAACAATCAAATCATAATCTGTTTAATGTATTAGTTAAACAACGTATTTAACTTTTTATATTCATATCAGTTAAATAATGTATTAGCTAAATAATGTATTTAACTAATATGGCGCTTGTAGAACTGTTGTATAAAAGCAATATCACACTAATACTTGTACCTATGACTGAATCACAGCTGTGCTGATATTCGGTGCAACATCTCTCCTTCTTGTGTGATATTGCTCAAATATACCCACACATATATATGGATATATAAAATATAAGTTTAGAGCATACATGAAATACCCATAGTAAAATTTGTATATGTACATATATTGATACATTTTTATGTGGTATAACATGCTGCAACCATATTTGTTTTCAATATATATTTCATTTATATATGCAAGTTTTGCATGTTTTTCTTATTAATTTCTTATTAATTTTAACATATGTCTACAATACAAGACACATACATATTTGCAAGGGCTAGACATAAATGTCAATATATAAGTTTCATACATAACATTTAAACATTTAACACTTACGCATGGGTTGAATTAATAATATTATTTCACCTGAGGATGGCCTTAGTTTTTGTTTTTCCTGCATTATTTAATATCTAACAAAACTTCTGGGATCTTGTTTTGTATCCATATTCTGCTGCTCAACTTGACTCTTATCTTTTTCGGGGGTTTAACACAAAAAATATTCCTTAAGTAAAACTCCTCATTTTAAATTATTCTATGTTGTAATCAAATATGTGATTAAATTTTTTACCGCAGGAACAACGCTGTCTTTTAGAAATTAAGTTTGTATACTATTATTGCAACAGCAAAGTAGTAGCGAGTATAATCCAAGCAGCAAACACATGAGGGATGTAAACGTAATTTTAGACATGGTTGGAGGACATGTGTTATGAAGTGTTATTAAATGCTGGATTAAGAAATTCAAGATTTTACCCAAGAACAGTAGTTTGACAAAATAATCATAACTAAAACTCAATTTATCATCTTTTCTGGAGCTTTTAACTACATCTCACTGTCTTCATCACAGAATTGAGTCAGTTCAGTAACTTTTATTTGTATCTGGTTTTACAAGTTTCATCACCTAGATGTTATAATTCTATATATAAACACAGACAGGTTTGTGCATTTGTTAGGAAACAGTGACGAGGTGCAGCCTCTGAAGATTTATTGTTTGGTGTTTAAATATTTAATCACCTCCTGTCTGTTTGCTCCTGTATGTTCAAGTGTCAGAGAAAGACGAGGAGACTCAGATGAGGGGAGGAGCAGCAGATGTTTGCACAGAGATGACTGATGCAGACGAATCCATATGCTGACAGATTATTACCGGTCACAGGAGGATGTTGTGAGGCACACAGAAGCTGCTGCAGCTTCGGGTTAAACAGGATCGCTCAATGATCAGATCAGAAAAGATCAGTCGTCAGTGAGCTGATTGAGGTGTCACTCACGTAAGAGCCAGTTCACATTGAGTTTACATTCTGCATTACAGATCATATAAATGCACCTGTGCTAACAAATACTTTGTTATATTTTAAGATTAAGATTGATTGATTGCCATAGTATAGTATCATAATAAGACAGTCCTGTAATTATTAGGCAAACCATGTAGTCAAGGCTGTTACCTCAAAATTATATTTAAGTACAGTACTAGTAAATGTATACTAACAGTTAATAACTATTTCTTTAATTGGTGTATTATTTGGATATTTTCACAAATTATCTATTGATCATTTATTCTGAAAAACGCCCAAAACATTATGAAGAATTCTTGTCGCAATTTCCCACAGTCCAGTCTTTGTTAAGTCATTGTAAATTAAAGAACAGTTATTTTCACCATTGATCATTCTGCTGATTCTTGATAAATAGATAAATTGTTTCATCTAAATGTCCATCACAGTTTCAGAGAGTCCAAGAAGACGTCTTCGAAATGTCTTGTTTTGTCCGACCGACAGCCCAAAACCCCAAAATATCAAATTTACACAAATTTAATGGAACCATGCAAATAATCAAAATGGGTAAAGTAAAACCAGGGAATTTCATAATTTCTTCTTTTAAAAAAATGACTAAACGATTAATAAATTATAAAATAGTTGTGTGTTGTCATTGACAGGAGACCCAATGAAACAGAGCGTTACCTTGATTAAAATTACAGATTTGAAAGAAAATTGTTGAAAACATTTTGGAAAATGTAAGAACACAATTCAACAAAATATATAACATAGGTCAAATTGTTTTAAGACATGTTAATGCAGAAAAGTTACATATGCTACATCTTTAGATTTTAGACTGTTAATTGAATAAAGAAGAACCGTGGACCGGAAATTACAACCAGAATATTTCAGATTTGCAGAATAAATGATCAATTGATAACTCCATGTGTAAAATTAATTGTTTGAAATTTCTGAAAAGTTAAAATTTTGATGATACAAGATTTTTACATGACAACAGCCACATTGATCTAATTTTGAATGTAAAACATAAACTTGTCAAAAAAAAATGTAGATATATAGAAACCAGTAAGAAAAATGCAGTAACTCCAGTTTTCAAATGAGTAAAACAGAAATCTGGTGGAGGAAAAGCAGAAAGTGTCCTGTGCTGAATTTGAAATAATGCAAATGTTTTCTTATTGTTGTTTTTTAAAATGTTGGTATTGTCCTTTACAAACACACACACATGACCCAGAACTGCAGACAAGCATGTGGACTTAAGTCCAAGGCATCTGCCGGTAAACAGGCTGTAAACCCACGTTAGTCTGTGACCCACATGAACTACTGCAGTCAACGAAGACCGGGGACGAGACAGGACAACAAAAGCCGTAAACAATGTCAAGGAGCGAAGTTTCCCGCTTTTAGAGGAGGAGAGATGGAAGGAAGGGAATGAGGAAGGAAGGAAGGAAGGAAGGTAGGGGGGAGGAGTGAAGGAAGAATCATCTTACCAGTAAAGTAGAGACAGCCCATCGAATCTCTCAGCCTCCTGAGGGAGTAATGGCATCGCACGACGGTCCGACACCGAAAAAAAAAAAAAACACCCAACCAATCAGTCACACACACACACACACACACTCACACACACACACACTCACACACACACACACACTCTCACACACAAACAGGAGCCGCCATGAGACAGCAGCGGGTGTTTCGGCGGAGAAGACGGGATGAGATGAGACGGCGGCGGCGGTTCAAACCAGGTCGGTATGTGTGACCGGAGAGAGAGGAGGAGAGGGATGGAAATCCGCCGAGACAGGGAGAGACACACGCTTACCTTTACTCACTAATCCATGCTGATACCCGTCCGTCTCTCTCTCTCTCTCTCTCTCTCTCTCTCTCTCACACACACACGCACACACTAGTACAACATAAGCATATGCACACACACGTCGGAGAGGAAGCATGCTGTAGAAAAGGCTGCATTTACTGAAGGCTCCATTCTTCAGCTAAAAGATTAAAGCGTTACAGTTAAAAACAGCAGAAGCAGCTTAAAGCGTTGCCTCTTTGCATTTTCAGACAGATAAATCACCTGTGAACATTAACACTATGGAGTCTGCAGCGATGCTTTTAAGAGTATGAAGCAGCCAGACAGTTCAATCCAGTGCACATCCACTGAAATTCAAATTTTATTTGTCTGAGTACACAACAGGGGATGATTCATCACGAAAAACGCTGGGATTAAAAAGACAGATGGAAAGAAAGGAAGGGAAAGAGGAGGAGAAAAGAGAGAGAGGTGCTTCAGCTTTAGTAGACAAAGTTAGAGAAGTCCTGACCCAATCACAAGGATCAGTATCAGGTCCAAATCAGGACCCCCTTCAATGAGAATCATGTTTTTAACCTTGTTAACATGTCCACATGGAGTCAACACCATAGCTGAATATACAGCAGTGAACCAATGACAGATTCATACAGCCAGGATTTCATACATCACAAACCGAAGGAACCAATCATGTCAATTTGGGGGGGGGGGCTAACCTTGTCAGTACAGAGAGCTAGAGTTTGCATTAGCACAACCACTAATGCAACCACCCAGAAGGTGCTAGTAATTAACCCATAAAAGCAACATCCAATGGAAAGCTCTTACTGAAAACAGCAGGTTGGATTAACCTCAGAGGACCCCGCTGAGGAAGAGCTACCAAACAGCGTCACACTAAATACTAATCATGTTCACTGTAATATAATCCTCACAAATGCCTGTCCTTTGGATTTAAAAAATAGATTTAGAAAATCTTGCAATAAAAATTCAAAATTCAACACAATTGAAATTGAAATTTCAAATGAAAAACAGTGCCTATAAAGTAATCAAAATATGAAGGATTAATGAGAAACCAGCACAGGAATCAAACTCTAGTGCAACTCAAGTCCTGATTTTCAGGACTTTGACTCAATTTGGGCCTCATCACTGATGACTCTGACATTGACTTGAACCTGAGCGTTGACTGCATTTGGACTTTTAAGTTGGAGAAGTTGGCTTCAGTGTCACACACAGTAATTAAACTCCCTTTAACACGCTGACAGCTGTGTTATCTGTGTTGAACATTGACCTTTTCTATTTGTGTGTCAGCTCTGTGTGCCAGAGTGTAGCACTAGAGGCCATATTGAAACTTGACTCAGACTCAACCTTGATGACTCAGACTCGGACTCGGGTAATGGGGCTTCGACTCGGACTTGGATGCTGGGATCTTGAAACTCGACTCAGACTCGAGTTTTCGTGACTCAACTACAATAGTTAGAAAAACTCAAATTCAAATTCCTCCACTCAAGGTTTTGTTCATTTGAATTAGATTTGATTAGATTAGATTGATTAGATTTTAACTGTGTCTGCACTATAAAGCTAAATATTTGTGAGTCAGAGAAATTCAGAGAAGTGGCAGAAAATGCTGAATCATATGGAATTATACTATTGTGGCATACAAAGACTTCTAAAAAAAAATCTAAAATCAGCTCTGGAAAACGACAATATGCTGATACGTCACACACAACCACAATAACGTTAATTCTGTGGTTTCACAACTTCCCCAATCATTTGCACATTTGTCCCTAGAAAGGAAACCCATTTCAAAATCCTGTACCTCAGTGATAGCAAGTAACAGGAAATGTGACCTTTGACCCAGAAACACACAACTTAAACACACTGTGATTTTATTTGGTTTACTTGATGGATGTGCCCAGCACCAAACCATCTGAATATACTCACAGATTGTGTCAAGTTGGACATGTTTCATGGGGTCTCTTCACCCAACATCAACAAAACATATTTTCTGACTTAGCACTAGTGCTGAAAATGAGGATACAGTCCGTTTTCAGATCTGCTTTTAAAGCAGATCAGGTGAAAACCTGAAAACCTCTGAATGGAAGTATGTATCTTACTCTACAAAAAAATCAAAAAAGCCTTAAACATTTTCTTAGTTACTCAGGATATTTCAATAATTTTACTTTCAGTCCAGTTAGCTTTTATGATTGCTAAAGTGAGCATGTAATTTTGTTGACATTTCAACACCTTCTTAATGTTTGCCTATGGTCAGCTAATGTTGATGTTGGTAACTTAATATTAGCACTCATGTACTAACACAAGACTCATGACAGTCTTGTGTTAGTATCACTTTATCACAGTTTGGCTGCTAGCAGGTAAGCTGTAAGGTTAGCATAAAGTTAGCATGTATTATGACGATAGTTAGAAGCCAACACCACTGGTTACATTTTAGCAAATTCAACAGTTAGCATTAGGACAAAAAACTGGCTTAATGATAGCTTTTATGTTGGATAAAGGTAGCAGCTAAATGTTGATATTTCAACAACATCTGTTGGCTTTAGCAATCCAGGTGATATTAACTTAATATTAGCATTCATTTAGCTAAGCTAGCCTTCTGTAAGTATCACTTTGTCACTGTACTTTAATGTTTGGCTGCTAGCATGTAACAAATAGGTATTTTAGCATAATGTTAGCATGTAATATGACAAAAGCAGCCAACACCACTGTTTACATTTTAACTAAATGTCAGTCTTTACATTTCCTAAACTTAACATTTAGCATTAAGGCTAACATTACTGCAATCAACAAAAGCTAACTAAGCAATACTGAAATTCTGTCAGACTAAAATGCACCAGACTGTTCTGTTAGTTCACTTTAGGTTGAGATTTGACAATTTTCACTGTCTGGATCACAACGTAACAGTTCTGGTTTACTCACTGCTCTCAATGTGTGGATTCCGGCTGCAGCAGGCAGATGTTTTCAGAGAAGCAGCTGTAAAAATCCACTGTCCACTACCTGCTTGGCAGCAAACAGCCACAGAGAGCCAGCCAGAGAGCAGCTGGTGAGCATAGTGGAGCATTTAGCAGCTAAAGACATATTTCCATCAGGAGCTGGTGGAGACCAAAACAGAGCTAAAAGACACCACTCAGAATGAATGATGTGTAACTGCTGGCTAAAGTAAGCTGTCAACATCGCATATATTTTACATTTAAGTTGAATGTTAGCCCTTATGATGACTTGGGTTGGGTTGTAGAGCATCATGTTTTGTGAAAAAAGAATTAAGAAGACAACTTCAGCATTAGTAATGCAAACAAAGTTAACTAAGTGACAATGCTAATAGAATAAAATCTTCTTGCTTTGCCACACCTGAAATATTCTCAAAATTATTTACATTGCTGGTGTTATTTTCCAGTTCTCTTTAGTGATTTAAATGCTGAGCGACCTTAGCTGTGCACCCATTCTTCTAAAAATAGCATCACACCACTGTGAAATGTCTTGAGAAACTAGCTTTACGCAGCGCTTACACGTCACTTTTTTTTGTTTTGTTTTTTTTAAATTGTGTACCAGTAGTTATGTGGTAACTGCTTGACTGACATACATGATGCAGCAACACAGTAACACCCTCCTGCAAGAGACATAAATACAGGAACAAGGTCATACATTCTGCTATTCCTTCCTCCTGAACTTAATCCTTTCATACATCTGACTGGTGAGTACTGTATATGATTATGATTTACTGTATTTTAATTATAATATTATAATTAAGTGTGGAAAGTTACTCCTAAATTAGTCTTATTTAATCTATTTTTATTTTAATATATATTTATTAGATCAGAAATGGATTAAATTGATTATTTTTTCAGTAGGAAATACAACATATTAAAGAACATGAAAGTTGCATTTTAAAAGTTTCATTTTAAAATCAGTCAGTACTCTTTTAATTTTGGAAATTGAATGTTATTAACTCGAAATTTCTTACGGAACAAATGTCCAGATGCAATTGTAAAGTGCACTTTATTTAGTGCAAATTATTGTAATGGGGTACTTAAGTAATTTAATTTTCCCATTTTATTGTTTAATTTTTTTGTTGATGTTTTGATTATATTTTTAAAGTATTGTAGATATATTAGATATTACTGTGTTAATTTTGTTTGTCATACCACTGATGCATGCTTCCTATGAAATACCTTATGATCTGACCTCTGAAAAGAGGAACTGGCTGATGTCCAACAAAGTGCTCTCTGTATTTTACATTCAGATTTCATGCTACAGAAAAAAGGAGGAAGGTGAAAAGAGGAAGCAGCTGATTTCCTGAATCTTGAAACTTTCCTTGCTGTGGTCATTCAGTTTTTTTCTTCTCATTCTTAACCACCACCAAACCCACAACTGTTTTTAATAGAGCATAAAAATAACCTTTTTTTCATACTACAAAAAAAATCCACCAAACTGATTCATCATTTTGTTAAGACAGACATGAATTACACTAAAATGGTATCAGAGCAAAAGGAAAACTTCACCACCACAGTTTTAAACTTCACAACCCCAGTCCCTGGTGGTGGTAGAGGCGGTGGCTGCCCACCAGTCGGTATTCAACTGGAGGGTGTGATCCTGCCACCAGTCCTCACCATTGATGTCATACTGGGGCTGCTGGGAAACATCATCGCCCTGTGGATCTTCTGCTTTAAACTGAAAGCCTGGAACCCCAACAACCTGTTCCTCTTCAACCTGGTCATCGCCGACTTCCTCTCTCTCGTGAGTCTGCCACTGAGGATTGATTCCTTGCTCAGGGGCCACTGGGTGTTTGGGGATGGCCTGTGCCGTCTCAACCTCTTCCTGATGTTTTCCAACCGCTCGGCCAGCATTGCGCTGATGACCGTGGTGGCAATTTACCGCTACTTTAAGGTGAGGAACTAGTTAACGTTTGCTCTCAATGGCCACACTGAGGCTGATGAAGCTGAAAAAGCTTGTGCAACATTTTGTTACACTTCAGTAGACAATCCATAATGCAATACTAGAATACCAGTATAATACCAAAACCATAATCAGTGTTTACTGGTTGGTTTCCCACTAAGGTTTGGAACAGTGATTGCCAACCATGTGTACTCCAGGGGGTACTTGAATACCTGAACTGATTAAAAATTGATGTGATGCTGATCTTTACTAAATGTATTGATATAGTAACAGGTAAGCTTCCACCTACAAAAAGCTGACTGTACTTAGTTTGCTAAAAGCAATGGATAAACGCTTAAAATAGTGAACTATAAGTAATTTATAAACAGTCAGTTAAAAGTATTAGATAAACTAGCGTAGGACGACTGCAAAACCTGATTAATCATATTAAAGTGATATTGCTAAACTTTTACATAAGTATAGTGTTAAACATTAAAATGCACTCAACTGATCATTGTTTCCAAGGTCAATAATGAAATTTGCTTGCTGAGATAGGGCTCAGTGGGAGGAGTCAACCATCCACTGAGAATCCAGGACCCAAAGAACCACTTTAGGAACTCAAACTTTTCATGTCTTTTTACTGGAGGAACCAGGGTTGACATTTCAAAATTTGTTTTGATTCACTAATCCACTAAAGTAATAAAATTCCTGAATTTCTTTCTACCCAGATTACTAGGCATGTGTCTGGTGTGAAGGCTTCCATAGGAAACAATGGCTAGTTTAGAGGTTAAAGTGCTGACCATGAACTGCAACATTCCTTGCTCAAGTCTGGATGGACCTTTGTCGCATGTCATCCCCCATCTTCTCTCGTTTACTGTCAACTTTCTAATAAAGAGATGAAATACCCCAAAAATAATTAATAATAAAGCAAATAAAATTTTTTAACCACTTCAGACACTGCCAGTGTGTGTTGTCATAAATTTGCTTAAAATTACCAACTATTGGTCCACATTGAATAACTACAGCTCCATGGAGACCCTATTTTGAGTATAAAATCAAAATGATGCATCACTGTCTTCTCCTTCCAGGTGGTCCACCCTCACCACCGGTTCAACTGTATGACCAAGCGACAGGCTGCATACGTGTCGGTGTTCGTCTGGCTGCTGGTGATCAGTCCCCGGGTTCCCATGCTGGCCTACAGCCACATCAAGGGCAGCGGCAATGGCACCCAGTGCTTCTTCTTCACTTCTTACAAAGAGGCGTCCCGCGGCATCATCATCCTGGTGGGCATGCACCGGATCCTGACGGTGCTGGAGTTCGTCATCCCACTGGCCATGCTGCTGTTCTGTTCCATCCGGATCTCCAGCTTTCTGAAGGAGCGGCAGATGGGCAAACCGGACAAGGTGCGCAAGGCGATGCGAGTGTGCGCCGCCATCGTCGCCGTGTTCATGGTGTGCTTCCTGCCCACAACGGTGACGACCATTGGGGTGTGGGTGATCCGCTCATACCGCCCATGGGATTGCATGGCCTTCTACACTTTCACCCAGCTCACCATCGTGTCTTTTGGGCTCAACTTCCTGAATTCGGCTTTGGACCCCATTGTCTACGTCTTCTCCAGCTCCATGTTCAGGAAGGCCCTTTTCAGCTTGCTGCCCCGTGCCCTTTGCTGTGGTCAGGGCGGCGATGACACGGAGTACTCGTCAGGAACTCAGTCAACCTCCCAACAGGAACTAAAATCCATGAGGGCCAGCAGAGGGAGTGAAGCCATGTGATAAGCTCTTCCTAGTATTTTCCTGGTTTCATCTGCTTTTGTGTTTATTTATTATTTGATACTGTTGAAGCCATGATTACATCATACATTTTCAATTATGATCATATGTTGCATTTGCATGTAAATATACTTAAACAACAGATACAAATGTGGGTTTTAATTATATGTATTCATTGATTCTCTTCAATTCTGGACTAAAATGTTCCCTCATGTTGATGAACTGAAAGTATCACATACATATTCATGCTCTTTATTTAAGCCTCATGATGATTTTAGACACATGTACACAGGATTCATCCCAATGTATTTGGTATCTTTAGTAAAATATAAAGGTGTGTGATGAGTCATTAGTTCAGCCGAGTGTCAGAGGTTAAACGAGGCTGAGAAAATGTCTAAGAAAGCAGTGAATCAAAGAAAAGAAAAGAAAACCAAAACAATAACAAGCAGCATTTTAAGACTCAGTTATCATAGAAAAGTCTGATTCCTTACTCATAAATGTTCCTCTGCTCAGTAGATGGTGATGGACAATGGGCACCATCTAGTGGACAAATCATGAACTACATCAGCTGATCTGTGATGTCTTTCGCTGGTGTCTTTCATGATCTTGTAACCTCAGATCACATGGACACAGACAGGACGGAAAGACTCAGCGGAGTCCTCATCATTTACACACAGTAAAGACCTGGACCGGTGAACAGACTTTAATGTCTCATCTGACACACTCAGTCTCCCTCACACCATCCACACCAAATTCTCTGAGCCTGTTTATGTAGCGTTCTTTATCTGGCAACCATGTGTTCCTGTCTCTGTAAATTGGGTGCCACACATGTAAGGATTACTGAATGTGCCCCTTGAGGCCTCAGGCCCCTTTGAAGCGACTGTGACTCAATAAAAACACAAAGAGACACATAACAACCATAAAGAGAAACAAAATGACCACAAAGAATCCGAAAATAACAACTTCAAGGAGAAGCAAAACACCTGCAGGCCACACAGTAAGTTTATCACAAATATTTTCCATCATAGCATCCTCCAGGGAACAGGCCGGTTGTTGTGTTTGGCCGGATTTAATTGAAGAAAATATCTTTATTTGTAAAACTGTGAAAAAGCACAAATACAAACAAATCAGTACTAATTGTACGTACAAAATAGCATTACTAATACTTAAGTGCAGTAAAGATAATTGAGATAAACCAATACAAACAGGCACTTATAATTTCATAGAAATGTAAATATGATTGTAAATAATGTTTACACAGCACCAATGCTCTAACCATCAACCTCTAACACACCTGTACTTACTCCACAATAAAGCAATTATCATCAAACATATTGTAATTAAACCCAAAAACTAGTGACATAAACATCCTGCTACAACTGTATAACTGAGGAAAACTTACGGATGAAGCCATTTAGCCACCAATAGATGGAGCAACACAGTATACTGATTTCCGATACAGTGGGTACGCTTGTTTTCCTGCTCTAGCCCTGTTTGTGAAGGTGGATGGGGTCTGTCATCTTGTGGTTCAGGATCGGAATCTTGTGCAAACCTGTAAGGCAGAACCAAAGCTGCAACAACTGTTTGTTTACACAAGACATGCAGAGTCGTTGCCATGGTAGTTGCCGGTAAACTGACCAATCAGAGCACACTGGGCTCTGGGAGTATATACACATATACATATATATATATGTCTATGGGCAAGACTGCCCTGTAAACAAACACAAGTAAATGGAGGAGCTACAGTCTTACCCAGTTCACTATGGAGGCAACATTGACGTATCGCAGCAACAGGCTGAAGCGACCAATATGTCGTTTATGTCAGCAATTAAAAGATCCCAGGATTATCCTCAATGCGCATGCGCAAACCTCTGAATTATGCCGCTTTCTTCTTCGGTTGACAAACTGCAGCCTTTGTCAATGGGAAACAGTCACACCCACGAAAATGATAGAAATTATAGGTAGAACGGCTGGAAGTCAAAGTAGATTCCAGAGACAATACCCTGCCACCACAAGAGGGCAGTAAATTACATGATGAATGCAAACAGGCATCAGATCCTTTACGGGACAGAAAGCTGTTCTGAGATCAGATGTTCGCTAATTACTAGGGATGTAAGGATACACTCAACTCATGATTCGATACAATTTCCGATACTGGGTTAACGATACGATTTTCTCATGATTTTTTTTAACAGAATGAGCTTACAATTATGACTGAAAAAGATTCCTTTAATTATTTCTCAGCCAAAAACACATTTCTGAGGTAGGGTGTAACTGCAAAACACAAACTATGCAATGAATGCATATTTAAAAAACATATATATTTAAATATATGAAAACTACAAAATATATTTTCTCTTATCTTTAACAAATTAAAGAGAATCCCTTTTTATTTCTCTGAGGTAGGGTAAACAGTGCAAAACAATGCATATGTCCTCTTCTTAAAAGTGCAACTGAAATGATATTTTATCATAAATAACAAAAAATAAATAAAAAATTGGATTTTTAAAACAAATCCAATCAAACAATCCAAGCGCTGGCATCACCGTCCGGCTGAAGTGCGGGCGTGATGGGATGCAGTATTTGGGCTCCAGTGTGTTGACCAACAGCCGAAATCCTTCATTTTCAACTACGGAAAACGGCCTCATATCTTTTGCCGTGAAAACACCGATGCACCTCGTAATCTCCTTGGCCCTTGCACTGGTTTGGGCGAGCGGGGTTGCGAATCCGCTTGTCAGCGTGGATTGTTTTTTTTTCGCTCAGGCGGCGGTAACATGAGCTTCTCACTATGGTGCCGGTTGACATGCTGCATCATGTTGGTTGTGCTATTTGTGTAGGTCATCACCTTCTTGCAGTATTTGCACGCTGTTTTTGTCTTGTCTGGGATCTTCTCGCCCTTTTCATTTTTGCACACAGGGAAGCCAAAATGCTGCCACACCTCCGATTTGAAACTGGTCTGTGCGTCCTCGATTTCAAAATCACTTGCCACCGCCGCCATGTCTCTCGTTCCGTATGAACCAATACCTGACAGTGACGTACGACGTTTAACACCCAGTGACGTATGACGTCCAACACGTGAAATCAAAAGTAGATTACGCTCTCTGCAGTTTATAAAGGGCATCGCGATTCATTTTTCATCTCAGCCGATTTGAATCGTCACACATTTGTATCGATTTTTAACTGTCTCGCGATGCATCGTCACATCCCTACTAATTACACAGCGGAAACTGTTGCCCAGAATCAGTTCAGTGAAGGACAGTGAACTAGAAACACCAAGGCTCATATTTCTATGAGTTATCTAATGTTGGAGAACAGTTTTTATTCACATTTGTCCTTAGTTTTTTTATTTATTT